TAACATGTGGCCAAGCATTGTCGTGCTGGAAAATCATTTTGTCGTGTCTTTTCGCGTAATCTGGCCGTTTTTGCTTCAATACTCAGCTCAATTGCATCAATTGTTGTTGGTAGCGTTCCCCAGTGATGATTTCGTTGGGTTGGAGCATCTCATAATACACTACACCCAACTGATCCCACCAAATACAGTGCATGAGCTTGGCGCCATGAATATTCGGCTTTGCCGTCGATGTTGATGGTTCGCCTGGCCTGTACCATGATTTTTGCGCTTCGAATTATCGTAGCGTATTTATTTTTCATCACCTATCACGATACGATGCAAAAAACTTTTTCTTCTGTGTCTTTGAAGCAACAATTCACAGCTCATTTTGCGCTTTTCTACGTCTCTCGGCTTCAACTCGTACGGCACTCAGTTACCTTGCTTTTGAATCATTCCAATGGCCTTCAAACGTCTGGAAATCGCTGATCGATTAACATTTAATGATTCTGCAAGTTCTTCTTGTGTTTGACTCGGGTCTTGATCGAATAAAGCTGCCACTTCCTTATCTTCAAACTTTTTCGGCTGGCCTGGACGTTCCTTGTCTTCCGTGTCAAAATCACCTTTTTTATAGCGTCGAAACCAGTACTCACATGTTGAAATCGGTGAAATATAATTATCATAAACTTCCAATAGCATTCGTTGACTTTCATCAGCACTTTTCTTCACCCGGTTTCAAGGCAATATTTGGGAATTAATTTCAAGCAAATGGTTAAACCTACAAAGTTAATGGTTCGTATTGACATTTCTTTATCTTTGAAGAAATATCTCATATTTTGTCAAAGCTTTTTATTCAAAATTGAAGAAATACTAGTAGACGAAACTGGTCACACCGCAAAATATCTTCCATCGGGAGAGTTGATTGCCACCGTCCTCGTTATCTGAAATAAACGAACTTGTTTTTTTTTCTTTATGAATGTGATTATCGCGTGAAATAAAATAAAATAATTTGAAGAAAAATTGACCAAATAATAGCGCTTGAAAAATAGTAGTAGAATTTTTACAAAAAATTCTACCTTTTCGCAGTCCGAGAAAATAGTAATTTTAAAAATATTTAAAAGATTATAGTTCTGGCAATAGTTTAATACATATACACTATATGTGTATAAAACTGCAAGTTGGTCGATCCAGTAATTTCTGAGAAAAATACTCACTCGATTTGAAAATTATCGTTTGGAGAAAAATGCATTTAAAGATTCTCATGTATCTATAAAGAAAATAATGAGTAATTTCAGTAACTTACTTTTAATTAGCTATACCATGACCATACAAAAGATCTTCCTCAACTTCAAAGAACCCATGTTTGTTAATCTTCTTTTGTCTCTTAGCAATTCTTGTTCCTTTCGACTCATACGACGCTCGCTGCTCAAAACGTTTAATGTGCTCGTTGTCTCTGCAGCATCCATCATCTTCTTTCCGCAATACAGATGTTTTGGTGCAATTGTCCAAATTAATGAATTTAAACTTTCGTTATTATCCTGAGTAAATTATTCGAGACATTGCTGTAATAAACCACCGATAGTTAAATCTTCGTAAATTGGTTGAATAACATTTAACACTTTGTCATTCATCTCAGTTGGCGCGCCGTATGGAGGATGTGTCCTTTAAACATTTATAACTCGATCAATTTAACGATTTTCATCTTGGTATATTAGGGACATATTTTCAAGGCCTCAAGCTATAATAAGTCGCAAAAAGTCAGTTTTTTACCCGTCACATTAGAATATTTCCTTAATTATAATGATATAATTTACTCCTACTCACATGATGTGTGAAATTTCCCTTTTTATTTTCTCCTACGTCAAAAAAGTGTTAAATAGAATAGGCAGGCTAAAAGTAGGAACATTTCAACTCGGATAGGTTAACTAGAATCAAAAGAGGTTGACGTATAGGTTTCAAAGTATCAAAATATGTGTTGAATGGAATAATAAGGCTGAAAATAAGATCAAATTTTAATTCAGATGATTGCGAGGATAATTTTAATCGCGTGCACCGAGTTGCTGGCGGGAAACCTCATATTGTTGCTTACATTATTGTGGCACTGCTCAAGATTTACAGCTGTTCGATGTTCGATAATCTGTAAATACAATCGAAGGTTCCGAAACAACGAAAAAGAAAAGAAACTAAAATATCACTACTAGGCGCCATTGAGTGCGTAAAAATAATAAATTTCCAGAAACATATTTAAATTGCATAATTTTGCGTATGTGATCCAGTCGCCCACAATTTCTCAATGTACTCTTTTCTCGAGTCAATGTTGATTATCGAAACTATGGAGTGTCTTCCCACGTAAGTTATCTCCAATTATAATCTTTATTTTGATTACTTTCATATCAAAGTTCATAACAGCAATAATAGCATAATTATATACTTTTTATCCTAATTTTATTAATACATTCTAGATAGTCGTATTTTTAGCAATATATAACCCAAAACACAAAACACGATATAATAGCCCAACAAAATAGCAACGTCGTACCAAAATGATGATTTAGTCATGTCGAGCATTTCCAGTATCGTACTCGGCGCTCGAAAATGGCAATAAATATCTGAGCATTGTAAATTCTCACGGCCATTGCCGTAGACGGATTGAACCGCACCGTCGAAGGCGTATCGTAGCATGCTCAGGTAACTGATGTAGTACATGAAACTGGTCATATCCTTGAAGAAGACTATAAGACCGGCGAGAGAGAACATGGCGCACACGATGATAGATCCGACGAAGAATCCATTGACAGGTTCGAAAGTCGCGCCCAATCCTAAGCCCAGGCTTTCGGAAATGAAGAAAGATAAGATATTGATGAGCAGATACATGAAGAAGCGAGAGAATTCAGGCGGTTGACTGGTCATGTAGTAGGTGATGGACGAGCCCAGGAAGCCGTAGATCGTCTGCAACGGTATTGTGCTCACCAATATGGCTATATAACAAGTTCTCAACTGGTACCAATTGTTGAAGTGCTCCTTCCGCAGAATGACAATCTCTAAGGGAAACTTGATCACGGCCGACATCAATCCGAAGAAACATGGGTATAACGTGCTCACCAACAAATAGCAGAGGTTGCCAAATATTTTGTTGGCATCATTGCCGGTGTGTTTATAAATAAGACCGGCCAGCACCGATACGAATAAGTGACCGCTCAGTTGGATATACACCGTCTTGCGCATACGATATGTTAACATCATGTAGCGCTGCAGCAAAACCCAGAATCGCATCAGTTCTGTTGGCGGGCACGTCAATGTTATCATCTGATTGTTGTTGGATATCTTCTGTCGGGTCATGTTGCATGATAACTTCGACGAACATATCTCGTCATTCGACTCAGGCCACTTGCTTGCCGCGATCAACTGTTCGTCGTAATTACCATACTCCTTTGACACCACTTCCAGCATGTAGTCCGCAGGGTTGTGATATTTTGGACACTGAAGACCTTGCCGAGCAAAGTAGTTGACCGTATCGCCTGGTGGCGAGCGATACATGCAGTGACCGTCCACTACCAGATAGATGTGATCGAACATCTCATAAAGCGTTGTGCTGGGTTGATGTATGGTGCAGATAATCGTCCTGCCGGTTTGCGCCAGTTTCTTCAACGCGGTTAAGCACTGCACAGACGCCGAAGAATCCAGACCAGTAGTCGGTTCGTCTAAGAACATGAGCGATGGATTATCAATCATCTCCAAGGCGATGCTCAGTCTTTTCTTCTCACCACCGCTCAGCCGGTCAGTTCGGGTCTCTTTGATGTGCAATAACATAAGTGTGCTCAATATATCGTTGATCAGCATCTGCCTTGACTTACGCGAAATTCTCCGATCAATCTTCAGATAACTCGCAATCATCATGACCTCGTTGATGGTGAAGTAGTCATGCAGATGGTTTGTCTGCTGAATGTAGCACAGCTGTTTTTTGCAACTGTACCGATTCTGCTTGTTACCTTGTTTGAGGTACTCCACCGTCCCCGTGTACAAGCCTTCCTGGAAGCCACTCAAGATGCTCAGCAACATTGTCTTGCCGGCACCCGACGGCCCCATAATGGCCGTCAGCTCGGCGGATCGAAAAATTCCGTTTAGACCTTTGAGGATCTGCTTCTTCGATCCGCAATATCTAGTGCGGACTGCGTACGATAGATCCAAGAACTTGACGTCGATCTTCTGATTGCATGTTATGTTGGTGAGGTAGAGTTTGCGCTCCATTGTGCCAGATTTTACGGTTTATTTGACTCTAAGTCGCCCCGAATATTTTCGTTATCTAATGATAGTATCTTTTTATAATCTCTGTTGATTCATCGATAATTTTAGAACATTGACTAGAATACTAACGAGAATACCAACCTTCGTAGCATAAAAAGAGATCACTACAAATTTCAATCTTGATTTTTCGTTAGTTGACACGTGCAAGAACTGTTTTCACATGCACGAATTTCTACCCACGATTTGCTACTTTCGTGCAGGTATTCCTTATTGGAATGGGTATCTCGATTGTAATCCCTAATTGTCTGAAGAAATTTCACTCCGTAGAAAGAAAGCACTGTTTGGACGTTGTTGACCTTTCGGACCCGGAAAAAGCGCTTCGACGATAGGCAACGGAATGATGGTCGAAATCGAACTGTGCAACATGAGAACCGAAAGTTTCCTCCTTTGCTGTATCAGCAACTTGACGCCCGAACGATGATGCGACGAGACTATACTTGGAATTGCAACGAGACGCTACTTTACCTAGCGAGGTAAACTTTAGCTAGGGAGGTAAACTTTACACTTTCGGTGCGCAGTCGTCGTTGTATTATTAAATATTTATATATTTGCCGTAAAAGTATAATTTTTTAGATTTAAATATATATGCAGCACAACGTGATATTTTCGCACTGTATTATAATTTCACACTGTAAAGAAAACCGAAGTAAATTATCTAGCTAATACTATCCGTTTCGCAAATATAGAAATTGATATATGATTTAAGTTACGTACGTACATACGAGACGATAGAGTCGTGCGCGTCACATACGTTATATACGGCTGTTCTATATCTTGCCGTTATCGTAGGTCAAGTACAGTTGTACCAACCGTAATCAAGCAGATGATATATAATCGCTTGATCATCACCTCTTGAATGTAAGATTCAAATGTTGCCGCTGTATTATGAACGATTGCAAATTCAATATGTGCTTACATCAATCAATATTTACAATAGCAATGTCGTAAGTTCGAGCTGTTAATTACAAATAGAGGAAACACGTAACAGGAACTTCTTTAACTTACATTATGCATGAAAAGACACATAAGAATTGCAGGAAATAAAGAAATATGCTGCGAAAGTGAGGATTGTAGTACCGATAACGCTATCGGTAACGATAGCAAGAATCGCAAATCGCAAGAATGTTTCCACCAATTGAAGCGAATGTTAAATATCATGACGACTGTGATGAGACGGTGCGCAATAAAGCACCACTAAACTTAGTGTCATTATTGTTAGGTTTCATTCATGAACCGTAGGAAATTTGTGACTCGCGAATCTGAGGCCTACGTAATCGTTACTCGCCCAGATGAGATCTCAGATCTGAATTTAGAGTTGAAGTTAGATTAGTATTTTTATCCGGATAATGAAATATATGTTATATTGCATTTATAATCTCTCTCTCTCTCTCTCTCTCTCGCGATTCAACATGAAAGCTCACATGTAATTCTAAATTTGCCTGGGTATTTTTCACGTGTGGCAAATAACGATTATTAATACGAACTTAAAATTTCCTCTTGTGTCCGACAAAAGAGAATTTCCAAGCGTAATAATGATTCAGGAAACTTTATATTTATTCAAACAATTTATCTTTTATCGTCGCGCACATAAATTTTCCCCACTTCGCACTGGAATATATCAAACTGTAGTATATTCATATAAGATAATTGCTACTTGGATTTTTCCTTAACATTCATGTATGCGTAATAATGTGAATGTTTTAGGGTGCGTTCCGTTTCCACGCATGATGCGCATGAAACGCAGCGTTAGAGTGACAGAGATACGAAAGTAAGATAAAATGAGAGGGGGAGCACTCGGGTGAAGTTCTCGAACCTAGGTTAGGTTAGTTCTCGAACGCATGAGATCGCATGGACTGCACTCGGACTGGACTTGGAGCTGAGGCAGTTCATGCGTTCGAGAACTAACCTAACCTAGGTTCGAGAACTTCACCCGAGTGCTCCCCCTCTCATTTTATCTTACTTTCGTATCTCTGTCACTCTAACGCTGCGCTTCATGCGCATTATGCGTGGAAACGGAAGGCAGCCTTAATGTGCGACTGTTCAATGTTATAATCGGAAATTTGTATATTTATAAATCACCATAGATCCTTATGTGAATGACTGGTACTGGTTGATGATATTGTGTTGATTTTGCATTGATTTGCAGAAATATTCTACACCGTGCCCTAAATTTTGCTATTATTGGCAGATTAATTGCTGCTAGAGATATGCGAATCAAAGATTTTTTTATGTCGAATCGAATTGAACAGAATCTCAGATTTTAATTTCGAATTCTAATCGAATCGAATCGATAAAATTTCACTCGAATCGAATTAAATCGAATGAAATCGAATCGAATCTTTGAAAAAATTTTTAATTAACCTAATCATTGAATTTAACATGAAAATAGTGACTTCAATATGAAAGATAATATTGATCATATGATGTCAATTTATTTTAAAGATATTTATATATATTTAAATATTTCCGCTTTATAAAAATATTTTTATCCACGTATATTTAAATTTATGATAGGTTATAATAGACAGTGCATGTCAAAACAAATTAAACAAATTATTATTAAGTTTATTCATAGAAATTATCATAAATTAAACTTATTCTTAAATCATCTTGTGCAAAATATGCAAATAATAATGCAAATATATTATCTAATTTTAAAATAAAATGAGATCTGCACTATATTATAAGAAGTACATATTAACTCTACATAAAAGACTAAAAATCTAAATTAAATAAAAAGTTTTTGTCAGTAGTATATCAACAATACACACAATTAATACGTAACATGTATATATATATATATATATATATATATATATATATATATATAAAGAAAATAATCCTAAATAAAATTAGTAGGTATAATATAGGGGTTCTAACTCCGGTCCTCCGAGGGGGGGTGAGGGGCGGGGGGGTACCGCGGGCGGGGGGTATGACGTCACCGTGGGGAGGGGGGTTATCAGCAGTCGGTAATGAGGGAGGGGGGCATACCGATGTTATCGGCGGTCGGTAATTTTTACCGATCTTATATACCAACATTTAATTTTTTACTAATATTTAATTTTTACCAACATATATTTACATAATTTTTACCAGCATATTTACATAATACCAACGATCGGTAATTTATTACCGATATTATATACCAACATTTAATTACTTAATTTTTATCAGCACATACATATTTTTACATAATTTTTACTGTCATATTTACATAATATCGATGATCGGTAATTAATATGTGGCCCCTCGAATTGTGGTAAGACGAATGTGTTGGTGAGCCTGCTGGAGAGCCCACACGGTCTGCGTTTCGAGATTCTGTACGTGTACTCGAAATCACTGCAACAGCCGAAATATCGCTTTACCGTTTTCTTTACCGTTTCATTGCCGTTCTTTACCGTTTTTTACCGTTTCATACCGTTTTTTACCGTTTACGTTACCGTTTCTTTACTATTCTTTACCGTTTCTTTACCGTTTTTTACCGTTTACGGTACTGTTTCTTTACTGTTTACGTTACCGTTTTTTACCGTTTCATACCGTTTTTTACCGTTTACGTTACCGTTTCTTTACCGTTCTTTACTGTTTCTTTACTGTTTTTTATATAACATATTATCCATGATGTATAACATGCAAAATCTTGTCGCGGAAGCACAGTGTACGTGCTCATTAGTAATAAGAATATCATGTGTCGCATTCTTTTTCTTGCGCATCTAATTGTCGAATGCATACATCGCTTGCAAAATCTTGTCACGGGGGGGCACAGTGTACATGCTCATTAGTAATAAGAATATCATGTGTCACATTCTAGTTCTTGCGCATCTAATTGTCGAATGCATACGTTTGCAAAATCTTGTCGCGGGGACACAGTGTACGTGCTCCATAGTAATAAGAATATCACGCGGGCGGCATGGGCGACGCGGACGGCGCGGAAACCGCCGCAAAATCCGCCGCAAAATCCGCCGCGGAAACCGCCGCGAAAAAACCGCCGCAGATCGGTAAAATGATCTATCGAAAGTAGATAGAAAATATTATATAATATCGGTAATTACCGATCATCGATATTATGTAAATATGACAGTAAAAATTATGTAAAAATATGTATGTGCTGATAAAAATTAAGTAATTAAATGTTGGTATATAATATCGGTAATAAATTACCGATCGTTGGTATTATGTAAATATGCTGGTAAAAATTATGTAAATATATGTTGGTAAAAATTAAATATTAGTAAAAAATTAAATGTTGGTATATAAGATCGGTAAAAATTACCGACCGCCGATAACATCGGTATGCCCCCCTCCCTCATTACCGACTGCTGATAACCCCCCTCCC